GGCTAGTAATGGTGGATTGTGTTGCAAATATTACACAACATAGTGGTACATGTAGGATGTGTGTTTATATGTATGTGTGTATATGTGTATATATGTATGTATATATATATGTATGTGTATGCATTTGTGTGTGTGTATGTGGGTGCACGTGCATGTTCATGAGCATGCACTCATTCATGCACTCATTCATGCACTCGTGTTAGCGTGGAGGCTGTTTGGTATCATCCTCTATTGCTTTCCACTGTATTTTAATGGTTGGGTCACTCAATGATCTGGAATTCACTGATATGGGCAAGCCTGAGCTTGCAAGTCTATGACACCTGACTTTTGTTTTCTAGTTGATGTTGGTATTGAATTTAGTTCCTCAAGCACTATACCAATGGAGCCATCTCTACAGCTCTTATAGGAATGTTTTTAAAAGCTAGTAATGGTTCTCTCACCCCCTGCATATGGTCAGGCTGCCCACAGAGGGTGGAGGAGGATATGAGGTACCCTGCTCTATCGTGCTCTGCCACGATTGAATCGGTCTCTCATTGAACCTGGAGCTTGCCAATTTGGAGCTAGGGCTGGCTGACCAGCAAGCCCCAACAATTTTCTCTTCTGTGACCTACAGGTTAGGGTTACAAGCGTGGTTATATACAGCTTGTTTGTTCGTTTGGAGTTTACATGCTCTTACCTAGTGAAACCATTTTCCCTGGTCCCCCTTTTCTTCCTTCCTTCCTTCCTTCCTTCCTTCCTTCCTTCCTTCTTTCTTTCTTTCTTTCTTTCTTTCTTTCTTTCTTTCTTTCTCTCTTAATTTGTATTAGAGATTGATCCTAGGACCTCATTCGTGCTAGGTAAGTCTCAACTACTGAGCCACATCCTCCCCAGTCCTCTTTTTTAAACCTTTACTTTTTGGACAGAGTCTCGTTAACTAGTCCAAGCTAGCCTTGATCTTGTGATCCTCCTGCCTCAACTTCCCTAGAAGCTGGATTGTAGACCTGCCTGACTAGGCCTAGCTAGTAAAGATTTTGTAGTTTAGAATGTGAACAATTCAAGATTGTTCTAGTCATTGGCAGGAGATGACCACAGGTTGTTTGTGTGTTTTGCTTAGAAGGTATACTACCATATTCTCTGCCTCTCCACCTCCTGCTGTAGCTCAGTCTCGCCTGTAGTTCACTGTGTAGCCTAGCAAGCATTAAATGCCATGATTTTCCTGTTTCAGTCTCCCAAATACTGAGATTATAGGTGTGAGCTACACACTTGACTTTGAAGAATATCTTATTATGATAACTTGTAGCAGAAAACCAGGCTAAAGTTTCATGTATTCTGTATAGGAGGCAAATATTTATAACAGCTGTCTGCTCCACAACCCTTTAACATTTCATGTAACTGATGACGGTTTGATTTGCCACCACTATAATTCAGGCTTCTTTTCAAGAAATTGAGATTGAGACTACAAGTGAACCCTGCATTCTTTCTACACTTGTCTTGCTTTGTTGCTGAGCCACGTATAGCTGTTAGCACAATTTGTACAAACGGAGAGGGGCCTCTGATATGAAAAAAGAGGAACCATGGGTCATTTCAGAAACATTGGATTTATACTTTTGTTTTGAAATTTTCTATTAAATGGACAGGCTTATTTAATTCTCATTAGGGACACACCACAATATCAAAAAACAAACTTTTCACTTCTTGCTACCCGCCCCACCCCCAAACCCCAATGAAACGCAAAGATAGAAGCAAATCAACGTATGTTATTTGTGGCAGATGCTTTTGCTTTCTTCCCTAAATGCTAATCTCATCCTTTTTAGTTTTTTAAAAAATGTTTATTTTTTAAAAAATTCGTGTATATCTATGTGGGTATATGCATGTGTGAATGCAGGTATCCACAGAGTACAGAAGAGGGCATCGATTCTCTAGAGCTGAAGTTACAGAGACTTCTGGGCTGTCTTGACATGGGTGCTGGGAACTGAACTCAGTGGTCTGCTAGAGTAGTATGCACTCTTAAGTGCTGAGCCATCTCTCCTCCTTCTCATTGAGCCTCTTCAGCTTTACTCAGATGTTGTGCAACCATGTACCTTCTGAGTTCCAGATGGGATATGCAATGTAATCTTATTACCCTCAGCAGAGACTGCCCTAGTAAATGACATTTGGGCCCTTGTGGCCAATCAGCTATAAAGGAAATTCTGTTGGGAGTAACATTTGGGGAAGGCTTTTTGAGTTACAGAATGTAGATGATAAAACTTCCCTCTTTAGGACATTGTTAGCGATATGATACTTGGACCTGGTAGCCATCTTGAGACCTAAAGTGTTTTTCATACAAAAGATATTACTATCTCTATAGAGATAGCCCAGAGAAACTTTGGGAAGCATCAAATTCAGTTGTTTCATCTATTTTTGTTGGGCCTGGTTTCATATTGTTTCACCTGTAAGATGGATGATATTTGCAGAATTGGAGAGGTACCCATGGATGCATTTAGCCTTATCACAAACATTACGATATAGCACAGGCCAACATAAACATTTTGTGGAGTGTTTGTTATGGTGTCTATGCTGAATGCTTGACTCAGTTGCAGGCATGTCTCACCACAACTCAGTTAAGTATTGTTGTCATACCTGTTTTGTGTACGGGGAAATGGAGGTTAGGTGACAGCAAGCAGCTTGCTAGGAAATTGAAAAGCTGGGTATGAGCCTGGCTCTGAAGCTAAGGCTCCTAATCACTGCAGTTTTCTGCTTGAGAATCAAGTCATGGTTAAGACACTGGCCAGATGTTAGATGACAACTTAAAAGAAGACACACAGCAGGCAGACATTGTTGGGTGACTACTTAACTATTCTCTCCTCTTCCCTCAAGAAGAACCTCTACTTTGTTTGACGGTGACTCATAATCAAGTTAATGGAATGTTAGCAATTGCATTTTCTTTTGCCAGCGACTGGTCATGGCCACAAACTAGGTAGGATTTTTCTCTTTCATAAAATTTGGACTAACATTTTCTTACCCTTCTCTCTTGCTTCATATAATGACCCTTGAGGATGTGATGTCTGGAGCTTGTAATAGGTGACAGGCTTGGAGACAAACATTCATATGGATATGATAGCAAAGAATAAACTCAAAGAGCTCCAGACCTTGATAATACAGCTCTTCCTGTCCAACCAGTCCTGACACTACCACGCTTAAACTTTATGCTAAAGATGTAATAAAAGACCTCGTGCTCTAAGCTATTATTTGTCAGATGTTTTGTTCCTTGCTGCCAAAGCCATTCCAAACAGATACAGTTTAGGCAGAGCATTGTGTTTCAGTCTCAGCAAAAATAGATGATGTGAAGGCAATTGAGTTTTCATACAGGAATTTATTAGCATTAAGTAGTTGTTCATAAAACGAATTAAATTTTTTTATCTCAGATGTGGGTCAATCTGAATGATTCACATGAAGCCTGTGATAAATCTTTACCCCATTGGGTTCCAGATGCCGGGCTTCTTCTACCCCCATCAAGAGTGTGAAGGCCATCTGGCTTCCAATCGACTTGGCCAGAGGGAGCCTCAGCAGGATGGAGGGTGGTATTATAGAAATTTAGTTTCTCTCTTGGGTGACTGCTTAGCAGATAATCAAGGACTGAAGGTTACAGTTTCCTGTCTGGCAATCTCTCCATCAGGGTATAAAGGTCCCTTCTCTGCCTGGCAGGTACCAAGTCTGCAGCTCCAGGGCTCCAATTCCCTTATGATTTCTTGAGTCTCGCCCACATTTAGTGTTTTTATTTTCCCAGTTCAATGGTGTGAAGGAAATCTCTGCAGCTGTCTGAAGCTTGGTCTAGTCTGTAGAGCTCCTCGGACTTTAAAATAAGTGCAGTCATTAAAGGGAGTCAGAAGGCATGCCCTGTCACAAAAGTGAGACAACGTGCCCCAGTTCAGAGAAAACACTTTCCTAGAAATGCTGGACGATTTTTTGGATGCGGTGAAAATTTTAAGAACAGAGGGCATTCCAAAGACGAGAAAGCATGCGTTCAATAAAGGAATAGAAAAAGCTTAAGTGTTTCTGAAAAATTAGAGCTGGAAGAGATCTAAGGTCTTCTTTGTTCTGAGTCACTTGTCCTTCCACCTTCTTTACGGACAAACAGACATGAAGCTGAGATCTGGCCAAGGTTAAGTCACCAGTGTCAGGATTTAGCTCTGCAGGCACCAGGTTGTTTTTTTAATCCACTTCCTTCCCCGCTTTCCTCAAGTGATCTTCTAGTCAGTCCCTCTTGCTAAACTGCAATCTCCTCGAGAGCAGGATCACTGGTTTTTTTTTTTTTGTTTGTTTGTTTGTTTTTTAATCCTTGGAGTTCAGTAGCTAGTGTAATTAACGATCTTCACTCTCAGCTTGTTTCAGACAGGCGGTCTAACTCGCCCGAGATCACACAGCATTCAAGCACTGGACTGTATTTTACCCTCAATTAACCGAACTCCGAATCCTTCACCTCAATGGATCATTCGTTGAACAAATTAACAAACCCAGACCGGTTGAATCCGTTTCAGCTGTAACAGGCCCATTTAGTGGCTCCACCGCTCCGGGTAGCTGGGCACTGGACTCCCAGGATCGCCATCCGGCTCCAGCTCCGAGGCCCCGCCCCCTGCCCAGCTGGGCACGCCCCACCTTGGAGACCTGGGTCCTTTCTGCGTTTGAGTTTCCCTTGGCTCCAGCCTCTGGGCGGAGGGCCTCTCCCCGCTAGGCGACCTGTGCCCGCTCTCAGACCAATCCTCTCTCTTCCCACCCTCTTCTCCCTCCCTCACACTCTAAACTACTTTTTTTCTCCCTCTCTAAACTTCAGTCATTCTAGTGCCCGCCTCCTCTACTCAGATCACCCAATCAAGAATCAGCATGCCCGCTGAGTACCGCCCCCAGCCTGCCAGAACCCAATCCACGGCGCGGAGTCGAGAGCTGGGCGCATCCTTCAGAGAAGGGCTGGTGACGGCAGCGCGCCGGGCGCTGCGCTGCGGGAGGGGGCGGGGCCGAGCCGGCGAGGGCGGGGGAGGGGCCGAGCGGGGAGGAGGTTGCGGCGGGTTTGAAAGCGCCAGTTTCCTGGCAGCTGGGGCAGGCGTTGGTCTCGGCGCTCCGGCTCCGCAGCAGCCGCGCTCGAGCGGGCGACTTAGCTCGGTGCGCGCGTCCTGGACGGAGCCTCGGTTCCAGCTGCTCTCTCAGCTCCCGCCCTCTAGCCTCAGCCTTTCCCGCCGCGCGGGCGCCGAGCCCTGGCCGTCGGCGCTGACCCCGCCCGGAGACCCCGCCGGCGCCGCCCGCGGGGCGCGCGCTCCCTCCGACTCTCCTCAGCGGCCCGCGAGAGGGGCGGCTCGCGGCGGCGCGCGGCCAGCGGGCTGAGGCAGGGGCTCGGCGGCGGCGCCCCTCTGGCCGGGCTGTGCGCGGGGCCCGGAGCGGCACCGCGGCCGCCCGCGCGGGGGCTCCCCATGGTGCAGCGGAGGTCGGGATGTCGAAGACGTTGAAGAAGAAGAAGCACTGGCTCAGCAAGGTGCAGGAGTGTGCCGTGTCCTGGGCCGGGCCCCCGGGCGACTTGGGCGCGGAGATCCGCGGCGGTGCCGAGCGCGGCGAGTTCCCTTACCTGGGGCGGCTCCGCGACGAGCCTGGAGGCGGCGGAGGCACCTGCTGCGTGGTCTCGGGCAAGGCGCCCAGTCCCGGCGATGTGCTGTTGGAGGTGAACGGGACGCCGGTCAGTGGGCTCACCAACCGGGACACCCTAGCTGTCATCCGCCACTTCCGCGAGCCCATCCGTCTGAAGACAGTGAAGCCAGGTGTGCTATCCGCTTGGGGACCCGGGTCCTGGTCCGGACTCCCCGGGGAGGAGGGGGGAGGGGGTGGCGCCGGGGTTTCCTATTTTGCGGCTGGTAAAACTGAGCTCGGGTGAACCGACAGCTGTGTAGGCTGTCAGGGAATTACCACTAGGAGCTGGCTCTCCTAATCCAGCTCGATCTCCCACCGCAGACAAGAGTTTCTTTTTTTTTTTTTTTTTTTTGCCTAGAGAAGGCCATCCCTTTTCTGCTGCCCTTTATGGAAAAGGTCCTATGATGATAATCTTTTCTTTGGAACGTATTTGCGTCTTCTAACGGGGAGAAAGGGCTTTACTATGGAGACTCAGCGCTGGATCGAGTGCCTAGGTTACCACTGAAAGCTCCTGGGAGGGCTCAGCTGGCCCAGTGCGTCGTGCACGACCGCAGACGTCTGGGAGCTGACAGTCCCACTCTGTGGGTCTAGGTGGCTCAGGTGTCTGAGTATCAATGAGGTACAATGTGTGGTGATGTGAGGCAGTGGAGCTGTTGTGTAGTCTGGGTTTGGAAGAAAGACCTAGGTGCCCAGCCGAGCAAATGCCTTTGTAAAGCTTTCGAATCTACAGAATTTGTTGAAGCGCTGGGTAAAAAAAGAACCCGTGGTGCCCTGATGTCTTTGATGATCGTAAAATGTGCCGCAAAGCACGTTACGCTTATGGCATACTCCCTAGTTGGAAAGCATTGATCAGACTGCGCACAGTCTGGTCTGGTAGTATGTAGTAAGTTTTCTTACGAATTTGTAAGTTAGAACATTGTTGGTCCTTTAGGTATTGGTAAAATGTGGTTCTGGCTTCTGAGATGGTTGTAGACACGGGAATTGTGATTAATCATTGCTACTAGAAATCAAATTGTTCCTGCTGAACATAGATAGGGTACATCTGAACGTATGGGGCTGACAAGCTGTGACTTGAGCTAGATTTTGGTCTTCTTCTTTTACTACAAAATGCTGGAAAATTCTAGAGAAATTTTAATATTCTCTCTCTCCCTCTCCCTCCTTCCTTTCCCCCTCCCTCGTTCTCACTCTTCCTTATCTTCAGTTCACTTTAGGACTGTCTCTTTAGTAGTCCTTGAGCTAATTGCAGTTGATGGTTTGATGCAATATCCATGTGTTGTGGGTATGTAACATAATCTTACTAGCTTAAATGAAGGTGCTTTTCGTATAACCTATGATAGTGTTAAGATTTGTATGTTTGTAGGGTTTTCTTATTGTTAATCTTTAGAACTTTGTCAAACTATAAATACCCATTCTCTGTTATTTTGAGGATTTAGGATTCTTAACTCTTAACTTCTAGAATCATGTGTAAAGGTTGGAGGGAAGACTTTTGGGGCTGTAATTCGGCATGTTGGTTACTGTTTCTAATATTCAGAATACCATACAGACATTTACTAGCTTAGGTATGACTTAAATCATTGGTTCTCAACCTGTGGGTCTCCACCCCTTTGAGGGTTGTGTATCAGCTATTTTGCATATCCAATATTTAAAGCAAAATTATAGTTATGAAGTATCAATGAAATAACTTTATGTTTGGGGGTCACCACAACATGAGGAACTGTATTAAAAGGTCCACAGCATTAGGGAGGTTGACAATCTTTGACTTACATGAAGTCCCACGAGCCAGCAAATAATGAGAACATGTGCATCATTGCTGCTTTGTTTTGATCAGTTGGGGCATTACTGAGAGAATAACAGCCATAAAGTTGTTGAGGAAGTTGTTATATTCCAAATCACTGTGGTTCGTTTAAAAGATGAGAGGGATAGCTCCTTAGTAAATACCAATCTGTTTTACATGTTATATACCTTTCACATAAAATTGGAGAAAGTTCATCAGCTTTAAAGTGTTATACAGTAGTATTAGTTAACTGTATTGACAAAATCTTCCGTGCCTCAGAATATAGTCAGCATTTTGTATTAGTAAAATTTTGCCTTCTTGTCATCCAAAGACACAGTCCTGCTTTAAATATTTAGTGAAAATAAAGGGAGTAACTGCCCTACAGCTTATTAGTAACAGTTTTGAATGTTGTACTTGCTTTTTAAAATATGTTCAGAATTAATAATTTGTAGTGGGTACCATGATTTTTGTGCCATCTGAGATTTAAAACTGTTCTAAGCAAATTGTAATGAAAAATATTTGTTGGGTAGTCTATTATATGGCTTTCTTAAATGGCTTTACTTAAAAGCATCATTTATAATTAAATACCAAGAGTTTTGTAGGTTAAACACAAGCATTAAGTACTAGAAATTAAGAACTTGAAGAGGTTATTTGTAGAACTTTGGATTTAGTTAAAAAACTGCACAAGTATATCTCCAGAGAGTTTTTTGAGTCTATATGGTTGTGATTCATTTAGAAAATTATGAAGACACAGTGTAATGTGTTCTAAGAAGAAACTTTTCCTGCCCCCACTCCCATTTTTTCTAAACTTTGTGTAATTTTTAATTTCAAGCATTATATAGTACATTTAGCACTCTTGATTGATAACTTTTTGTTAAACTGTATTCTTGACAGTCATTTAGAAGCTAAAGAGTAAAATGTAGCTGTTTCTGTGAGATGTCTTGTTAATGAGGAATGGTCTCATGCTGTCTGCTGACAGTTTGTGGCAGAAGGATGAGCTGGGCTGTAGACATGGCTGCAGCTGCACTACTTCTTTACTCAAGCCTTCTCTTCTCCTGGAGAGGCTCAGGGGAGCCCTGTCAATGCTGTTAATGCAGACACATAGAGTATGTCTTCTTTCTGATTTTCCTACCTTTTGCTTTAGAGTTGTATTTATTTTGTTGTACTTTTTAATGGGGAATTGAAAATAGTTCTTTAAAATTTGGATCCTTCTTTGAATTAGAGAGTTCAGTATTGGTTTAATGTTAATATAGTACTTAGTAATCAATACTTTAACATAAATCTTTAGTCCCATTTGTTGCTTGGCCCAATTAATCACCAGTTTCGTAATTGTTTTTGTTTTGTTACTGTTATTTAAAGGAGAAAAGTTATCATTTGAATTTGAACTTTTGAACTTTGGACCACTGGTGAAACCTTTTATGGTATAGTCCTGTCTGTAGCACAGTGCCTGTGATTTACATCACAGTATTCTTAAACAAGTTTTATTTGGATTAATATGACCATTAGTTAATTTTGTTCTAAAATTCCCTCAACTGTGAATGTGTAGAGTTTTAGAACACATAAATATTTGCTTCTTAGTTCACCTCTAAATATTTCATCAGTTATAAATTACATAGATTTTATTCTAGTTAAAGATTAAATATTGCATTATAGTCTAAGTATGTGAAATCATTGTGCTGCTTTATTACGCATACAGTGCTTTGGACTACCTTAACTCTGCTACTGTATCTAGAGATGAAAATCACAGGGAACATTGTGTCTAATGCAGTTATCTGTGTGTTTAATGACTAATTTGAAGCAGAGTTTTTAACATGTTAATTAAATGCAGGTAAAAATGCTCTCCACTGACTCAGGGATTATAGTGTCTGAAGGAATTTTGTTAAAATTAACTCACCCCTAGAAATACATTCCCTTTTAGTGAATAAGCTTTACTGGATGCTTTAAAATAAGGAATGTGTATGATAATTTAAATAATAAAATCTCTGCTTTAGTCCTCAACTCTTGGATCTTTTTGCTAGTTTTTAGTGTAGTGGGCAGGTTGGAACATCATTGAATTTTGCTTAAGTGGTTTAGTATCCAAAGAAGAACAAAAGAAATGAGACTTAATTGCTAGGTTAGTAATATTACCAAGTATTCAATATATTTTTTAGCCAATAGAAGTTAGAGATTAGGTGAGGCAGTCCTTTTGTTAGAGACAATTGCATCACATTTTGATAAACTTGTCATTTGAAACATTCTTGCTTTTCCAGATTTTGGTGGCAGGTTTCTCTCTCCCTTAACTTAGTGGTTCAGGTTCAGGATTCCTATGAAATTAGGAGACATGCTGCAGCAGCAGAACTGGTTAACATTGTTAACATCTTTATACCTAAACACTTTCTTTCTGTAGCGGTTTGTCAGAGTACTAAATCCAAGTATATTTAATTTGGCTACTTTTCTAGTGTATCATTCAAGCTTTATTGATTGTTGCTCCCTATCTTTGTTATGGCTATCTTTGCTGAAACACCATGACCAAAAGAACTTGGGAAGGAAAGGGTTTACTTGACTTACACTTCCATATCACCATTTATCACTGAAAGAAGTCAGGACAGGAACTCAAACTGGGCAGGAACCTAGAGGTCTAGAGGTCATGGCGAGGTGCTGCTTACTGGCTTGCTCCTTATGGCTTGCTCATCCTGCTTTCTTATAGAATCCAAGACCACCAGCCCAAGGGTGTCCTTCCCGATCAGTCACCAATTATAAAAGTACCCTACAGGGTTGGTTGCAGGCTAATTTCATGGAGATGTTTTCTCAATTGAAGTTCTATCCTCTCAGATGACTATAGCTTGTGCCAAGTTGACGTCAAACTAGCCAATACATTCCCCTTATCTTTAGACATAATCTGTCTTAGGTTGATGTCTTTTAAAAAGTCTTTAGTTTCTTGCTATCTTTTTATTAAATGCACACATTTAATATTTGGCCCTTTCAAATTTCAGATGTGCTTTTTTGTTTTATTCAAGTCATTGCTAAAACTGAATTTCATGAAACACAGCAACACAACACTGTGTTTCTGGAAATATGTGTCATTTTCCTCTGATGTGGGGGCTACTTTATAAAACCACTTGTTATGAGAGTTATTTTAGTCATTCTTAAAAAGTTTGGTTTCTAATTTATGTAAATCTATGTAAACCATGTATAATTTTGTTTGAGTATCTAACTTATAAGGTTATTGCCCACTCTTCTGTGGATAATATCATATAGTGACTTTAGAGTATAATCCCTGAAGTCCTTTTAAAAATTTTGTGGGTACTTAGTGTTTTGTGTTTTGGGGCAGTGTTATAGGAGAATTGACACTTCCCTTCTTCAGCCTTCTCTTTCTCT